CCCGGCCCCCCCCCCCCCCCCCCCATTTCCTCAACCAACTACGCCGCCTCCCCACGCCGTCTTTCCAGTGCCCTGCTGCAACCTTCTCCTCCCCAGCGTCGCCACTGCGTTGCTCACTGTTCTGCAATATGCCACTCTGCAAGAAGTTCAACTGATCAACCGTTTTCGGAGGGTTTTTTATATTTCTTGAATACATAAAGATGAAATCAGGTCAAATTTCCTTCCAAAACGAAGCAACGAAATTAAAAAGTTAAAGTCAAAAAGATGTTACCTACAGAACATTATATTTTTACAATGTTAAGCTATTACGAACTGTGTCTAATACCTTGACTTCAATAGCCACCTTTCTTGTATCACGAACGTTCGTAAAGGTAGTGATTTGATTGGATTGTACACTACCAAAAAAACAGCCAGTCAGAGGCTTCAACAGAAAGTTAATAGTGTTTACAGTATTGCTGGCAAGGACTCTGGCTGCATTGGCTGGCGTACAATTCCATGATTCAAGAAAGGTGGCTATGTAGTCAAGGTATAAGACGAAGTTCGTAATAGCTTAACATTGAGAAGTTTAAGAAGCAAAATTTCATAAAATATAAAAAGTTATACTTGGATTATTTCTTCGTTTTGAAGTACAGGTTTGACAGCAAGCAGTTTCAGTTTCCTGATTATAACACTGTTTATCTCCTTTCTCGGAAATAAATTCCGGACAGGTCTTATTGTTTACAGATGGCGCGTCGGCACAGCTTGGTGATGTGATCGCGTCAGGAGTTGTAGTCGGAGACGTAGTTATGTCAGGGTTCGTCGTTTCTTCACCAGTATATTCACACGTCCCACAGCAATCAATATCATACAATTTATTATCTTTAGTGTTTATGTTTCCACAATTTCCGACTATGCAATTTTCTACTTTGTCTCCATATTCACAAACTACAATAGAAAACGAAGATATTCAAAACATCCAGGATGAATATAAACAATATAAACAGTGGCGGCGGCATCCTTCCGAGACTCGTTGTACAAGTAGGACTGACTCAATGGGGGGACAACCGTTAAAAATCTCTCGGCAGTAGGAAATCAAAAACAGAAGACTAATGCCGCTGTTAATTTCCCCTTCCACGCTGCATGGCGCTGCTCGTCTTCGTTAACCCAGAGGGTGCAGAAAAATAGGACGTAAAAATCCATTCATTTCATTTTCCAGCTCCTTCTTCAATTTGTCTGCTTGAACATGAGACGTCAAGGGTTAACTAGTAAGAATATTAGGTTAGAAACTTACCGAAGTTGTTAGTTTTAATAAGTTCACAAGTCTCACAACACCTTTCTCTGATTCCTGGGTGTTCAGGATAGCAATATCCACTGAAGTTTGTTTTGACAACTGCACAACTTATACCATCTTTTATCACACTATCCTGATCCCCATACACACAATTACCTTGACAACAGATAGAAATATACACAATTATCTTGACAACAGATAGAAATACACACAATTACCTTGACAACAGATAGAAATATACACAATTACATTGACAACAGATAGAAATATACACAATTACATTGACAACAGATAGAAATACACACAATTACATTGACAACAGATAGAAATATACACAATTACCTTGACAACAGATAGAAATATACACAATTACCTTGACAACAGATAGAAATATACACAATTACCTTGACAACAGATAGAAATATACACAATTACCTTGACAACAGATAGAAATATACACAATTATCTTGACAACAGATAGAAATATACACAATTATCTTGACAACAGATAGAAATATACACAATTACCTTGACAACAGATAGAAATATACACAATTACATTGACAACAGATAGAAATATACACAATTACCTTGACAACAGATAGAAATATACACAATTACCTTGACAACAGATAGAAATACACACAATTACCTTGACAACAGATAGAAATACACACAATTACATTGACAACAGATAGAAATATACACAATTATCTTGACAACAGATAGAAATATACACAATTACCTTGACAACAGATAGAAAT